TACACTCATTTGTAAATAAAAGAAATGTGCAATGAATGTGACTCGCAGAGGAAAGTGAAAGCTGGCATCCAGTTCACCGGGCCATTGTGCATGTGGGAAATTTTCAAAATCTCGATTATGGTCATGGGTTGATTGCAATCGGCATGTATGCCAAGTGCAACTGTGCGGGGACCCCATGTTTAAGTGCGTCTATCATTCATCTTGCAGTAGCTCAGTAGAGTCAGCTTTGAAATGAAGAAACCTGAATGTGGTGTGGAACCATTGCATCATCCTGCTGCAAAGTCTAGTTGTCCGTTTGTATGGGGAGCGAGCTAACCAATGCCAATTACTTTATCAAGCATTTACTGTGCATTGTCATCTGGCATTTCGTTGGGAATATAAGCACAATTCTTTCAAGTCGTGAACAATTATGTGAGCATTAACAGGCGTTTAGTTTTTCCTTTACCCAATACAAGCATTTATTTCTCTAACGCCGTACTTTGGGTATACTGAGCATTCAAAACCTTTGCGGTAGCCCAAGTCTTATCACACCATTTTCAGCAGAATTGCTTGGTCAAACAAACAATTCATCGGGATGGATGATGGTTTTGCAGAATCTGCATAGACCCATTATACATGTGATCAGATGACCACATGAGTACTACAATGAGCACAAGCGCAAATTCTGAAATGAAGTATAGTATTTATCGTGCACAACTTTTAGGTGCCGCTCTGTAAGTGGCATGTTGGATGAATACCACAACTTAAGTTCATTCATTGTGGCATACAGAAGGGTGTGAGGACCACTTTGAATTCATGACGGAAGTCAGAAGACGTCTCAAGGGATTAGATCAGTCAATTTATTGTGGTAGCATGTGGTGGCAAAATAATTTGGGTCGCATGCCATTAAGTGCAAGCTGAATAAAATGAAGCCCATCAGACAGGTCTATCGGTTTGTATGTCGACGCGACAGCAGATATCCGATATCACAGCTTAGTGTAGTCTGCCTGAGTCCATGTCCAAGCGGAACCCTGAGCCTGAGTCTAAACCAGAGCCTGAATCAGTGAGTTAACTTGTGTACAGAGTAACAAATTAACAGTGCAGTTCAGGCTTCGAGTGATCTTAAGTACGCCCTCTGTGGTCCATCTCTGCTTCACATTGGCCAAA